AGAGGTGTGGGGGGTTATTTTGTAGCAGCCTGAGTCATTTGCATGAGATTTAATGGATTTGAACACAGTGGATGCTCGTGTGTAATGCATGGGACTGTGTTCTGACGCGACACTTCTCAAATCAGAGGCTGCAGGATTAACATGTGCCCTGTTGTCTTCCAGTGGCTGCCGGGATTTTATAAACTAAAGGAGAAGCTTTTCATGCAGTATTACGCAGCAGATACTGCAGTGCAGACTGATTTACCAGTGTTTCTGCATTATCCACAGTAAAAGTTATTTTCGATGCCAATTTAAACTATTATATTTACTGGAGTGTTTGATTTCCTTTGGAGCTGTGATGGGGTGAATTTTGTGTAAATGTGTACATATCAGGACATGGTTCGCTTTTAATTATAAATATGTTAATTTAAGGGGCAACACGGTGGCCTAGTGGATAGAACTGTTGCCTCACAGGGGGTTCGAACTGGCCCCGGCCCTTCTGTGTGGAGTTTGATTGTTCTCCCTGCGCCCGTGTGGGTTCTCTCCGAGTTCTCTGTCTTCCTCCCACCGTCCAAAGACATGCGGCCTAGGTTGATTGGTGACCCTAAATTGTCCTTAGGTGTGAATGGGACTGGTTGTTTGTCTATGTGTGGCCCTGTGATGAATTGCCGACCTGTCCAGGATGTACCCCGCCTTTTGGCTGATGTCAGCTGGGATTGGCTCCAGCCCCCCGCGACCCTGTATGCAGGATAAGCGGTTGACGATAGATGGATGTTAATTTACTTTATTTCAACTGTAACCTCTTTGTATGAATGGCCTAATGATTGACATTAATAAAAAGAGAAACTAAATTCTCACCACATTAAATTTCTAACCTGTTAATAGCGCTGCCTATGGTGAGGGTCATGGAAGGGGAAATGGGTTGCAGTTACCTTAAAATTTGCAGAAAGTCTCCAGAAGCAGACAGAAAAGTGTCTTCCCAAATGAGGGTATTCTTTCCCTGTACCTGTCTAATACCCAGGGGCTAGGGCTTGTGGTATCAATAGCATTAGATAAACCTTCTCAGTTGCATCATAGACCTCTTTTAACCAGTCAACACCTAAACCTTGGAACGCTTCCACATTAAGCAGAGCTCAGCTGGAGCAGGTCCAAAACCCTGCATTTATATGTGAACATCAGCCCGGGGAAAGCTTCTTTTTAAAAACACGTATTAAGAGCAACACGGCGGCGTCACCAGGCCAGGAATAGCTTCTCCTCGTGGTTATGTGTTTGTGCCAAAGGGGCCTGAAAATGGGCTCGATGCTGACCGGATACACCCCGAGGTCCCTCAGGATTCAGTGCCTCACTGCGGTGGGTGACTATAAATCTACATCTACCCACCCCCTCTTTGCTGCAACAACCCCTTTTCTCCACTGCGCTCAACTCTTGAGTGATTCTCTGTCTCTCTGTGTTAATGAAGTGCTTTATGGTTGCAGAGGACAGGAGGGGACGCAGGGGGCATGGGGTTAGCACATAGCTCATTCCCACTATAGGGGGGCATGGTGGCCAGCGGTGACTGGACTGATTGAGTAAGTCTGGAAACCCCCCCCCCTACACACACAACCACACACTACTTTTAAACACACACACTTCACCCAGCCACAGCACAAGGGTCCAAGGGGGTTTGATGATGGCTCAATCCCAGCAGGAGATCTCAGATAACCTGCTCCCTCGTTTAATGACGGCTCTACAAATGATTACCACTCGATTTATGCCAGTAGTATAGTTACCATCTGGATTTCACCACAATCCGAAAGCTTGTTCTCGCTGAGGGTTTAAAGTTCGGAGGGTTTCATTTTTCGTTTGTTGTGTTAAATTATCTGAAGCCCTTTGAGACTGAAACAGTGATTAAAGGCAACACAAATAAGCTTGACTCACTGCCCTTAAAGTGAGGGAAAACATTATTTCACCTTGTTAGCTTATTCTTCACAACATAATGTTTGTCTTTAGAGAATTAAATGCCAAAACCTTTGTCTTCAAGGATTTTAATATTCAAACCTCATTTTCCGTCTTACTGAGCTTGATTGTAATTTTTGCTCTTGACTTACCATTGAGGGTATTCCTCATGTACCAAAAGGCATACAGTAATTTAAACATCAGCTGTACTTTGTGTTTAGTGCTCCTCAGCAAATGTTAGCATGATAACACACTAAACTAAGATGGTGAACATTACACCTGCTAAACATCAGCATGTTATCATTGTCGTTAAGTCTTTAATCTTGTTTTGGTGTCAATCCTGCAGCCTGCTTCTTGTGGCTGTAATTGAATGATTAACAAAACATTTGGAGTCTTTAAAACACCTTTAAACATCCCTCTCATGCCCCTTTTATACAGTTTCAGTAAGGTAAATGTGAAACAGTTTTCATGTGACTTTAAACACAGAGCCCTTTAGTAATCCACCGCACTGTACTGAAATTGTAGCTCAGTGAATACAGGTGTTTCTCTTTGAGTGATAAGTGTTTTGACCCACTACACATCTGAGCCTCCGCTTACACCTCTCCATTCAACAGTGGTCCTCCTGCCAAAGTTCTTAATGGCCAAGCGGCTCCCCCCACGCCTCGGCCCTGCCCTCACACTCACGTGGGGAGGTCTCCGAATTGAAAATGCCATTATAAAACATTTACCAGCCTGCTGAGTTTTCATGTCTTACAAGAAAAGGACCGTTTGGAGCGGTTAAGTGTCACATAAATCTTTCAGTACGCTAATTGAAGTGGTTCCCCCAATAGGCCACTCTCCACAGCTGCTATTACAAATCGCACAACTGCGGATGGGACGGCCAGCTGCAAACCAAATCTTACACCCACTTGATAATGTTGTTAAGACACACACATGGTGCTCTGTGGATTCCTGCTGCTGCTAGTTTGCTCAGACAGCTCCACTGGGAGCGTGCAATGTAGTCCTATGTAAACACAAGTCATCTTTCAGCGAAATATGCTCTGAGTGGCGGCACAAGTGTGTTCTTCCCTCCCCTCGCTTCTCCTCTCCTGGAAATGCAACTTATTTAAAGGTTATTTAAGCAGGCAAGTTGAAGAGGAACATATTGTTATTTCCAGCAGCAGCCTGGGGGAGTAGTTGCAGGATGCGGTGGGGTTACACCTACAGTATGCTCCAACTCACATCTGAAAGCTGGCGCGTTACAGCTAGCTGCCGAGCATCTCCACCATAGCTTCTGAGGATTACGTGCTTTGAGCTTCATGCTACCGCGCTAGTTAACAGAGATCACCTTCCAGCTGATTGGAACAAGCCCAGTTCTAATCTCCAGTCTGCCACTGAAAAAGGAGCTTTACATTGTGTATCAGGGCATCAAGTTTGAAACTGTGCAGGTCCGTTAAACTCTGGAGGGCTTTTTCATGGCTCAGCAATTACTGAGGCCTCAAACTTGATGTATTCCACCTCCCACTTCATCTTCCCTCTATGTCCTTCAAAACCCCTCTGTTCCCTGCCCTGTTATCTCTCCTCTTCCTTCCCATTACATTGTCTTTCTCCCTCCCTTTCTCTGTCTTTATTTCTCACTCTCTCCAGTCTTAATCGCCACAGAACTTGTTGATGAATATTGATAAGTGTTTTTTGATTACAGGCCAGAGCTGAGACCCTGGGGAAAAGGAGTGGACACACACACACACACACACACACACACAGATAGTTGGTACATTGGATTGTGTCCACCAAGGTTTACTGGGTCTTTCTTGCAGAGGTTCCCACACTCATCCTGATGCATCACTGTGTCGAACAAAGCATGTGACCTAAACGCCGCTCAAACTTCCACTGAAGAGAAGAAAACATCAGATTTGTGTGGAGCGATGAGGAGACTTAAACGTTCCTCACATTAATACATGAAACAAACAGAAATGTCTTGTTTCCATCCAGTTTTCCACATCCTTTTCCATCATCTGAGGGTTTGACTGCTCCACTAACGGTTTATCCAACAGCTAACATTCACGCACAAACTGTACGAACACACATTAAATCTCCTTTTTCTTCAATTATTTTTCTGGAAATTCAGTTAAAATTTGCAACATTTGGATGGATATTTGACAAATGACACTGAGGCAATCAAAACATTATTCCCCCATCTAAATAAATCCATCCTGAGCGGAGTCTCTGAACAGACAACGCAGGTAACCCAGACACAGCAGGAGCGAGAGCAGATAAGGTCGATTTGATGGCTCTTTTTTGTCCAGATGACACTCTCCAATGTCTGAGTGGTCATCACCGGGGGCCCGTCTCCCTCCGCTGCATGTGGGCCATTGACAAAGTAATAATCGCACCCCGCTTTGCCCATCATGCCTCGCTTCCAAAACCTCCTCGGCAACACCTGGCACCATGGTAACCAACACCTGTTCACCTAATTAGACGGACACTGGTGGGGGAGGAGATGAGGAAGTTAATTAAACGCTAATATGGTCCAATCAAATGCTCAGGCATGTGCCTCCTCACTCATGCAGCAGCATGTCGCCATAATGGCCGCCTAACGCGCGCCTCCCCTGCCAGGTCACCTTGGGTGACCTCATCAGTGCCAGAACTCCGCTGAGAGGCAGCGAATAGAGGAGAGCAGGCAGGAGGAAGTACGAGGGAGAGGAGAGGGAAGCCAGCATGCTGCTTCCTGGATGGACAGAGTAGCTGGACGTTGAGGTGTCAGCCAAATGAACAAGCATTAAGAGATAAGGTTCCCTGTGCACAGCAGTTGGAGCGGCTCCAGGTCGCACCAGCTGCGCTGCTCTTGTTTACAAGCTGCCACCTGCTGTCGGAGATGCCTGGCGTTCAGGTCTGCTTTCTGTAGAACATCTTCTGATCTGTGTGAGGACCATGACCAGGCACCAGAGAAAAGGGTCCGATCATATGAAATGTTTGGATACTATCTGTGCTAACAGAAACTGGGAAGTGTTTTGTGAGTTACTGAAAGGTTTTCAACTCGTCTGTTTGTCTTGTTTGTGCCTTCTTGTATGAATTCAATTGAAATCTGTTTCTGTTTTTCCCAACAGGAAACTTAAAAGGGATGTGTAAACAGATAGACCACTTTCCTGAGGAAACAGATTATGAAGCGGACCCATCTGAGTACTTCTTACGTGAGTATCTTGTTGTCTCTCCGTTATCACACAGAGGAATCCTGTTTATGCATTAGATTAATGGTCTTTTGCTGCTTAGAAGTGACCACAAGGACAAATAACATCAGGCTTTTCTCCCCGTGTTCTCCTAACATCTACTCAGAATTTATTTAATATTTGTCCCACATTTTGCTCCATCTCAGACTGGAGCTCAGTGCCAGTAACTGCTCTTGGCCCGTGTGTCAATGCTGTCTCTGCCTGCTTTTAGCACGAGGCTGGCCAGGCTGAGCTGCCAAACAGCTCGTCTGTTTTAACTGCTTGGCTGTGTGTAACATAACGTGCAGTGTTACAGTCGGCTGTGTACCCTGTAAACACAGCCCATTGATTTCTGCTCTCATTCCCTTTGTGCAAGCAAGACTGAGATGCTTGTCGAACTCATTTGCCCGCTAATCCTAAAAATCACAACAATGACTTGAAGCTCATGATATACTGTTAGTAGTGTTACCTCAATAGTCTCTTCTGATTGACCAATTAATGTGTGTCTGACACGTTATTTGTGAATTAAAGTCTGTTTGCATCGCTCCACAGTCATGAAAGTAACTGAGTTAAATAGCAACATTTTGTGCTAAAAGTTTAATTTAGAAACATGAAAGGTTTTATCCAATGCTGCTTTTAATATACTCATAGGCCGTTTTCATTAACACTTTTCATTACCGGTTAGAATGAATAGTAATCTTCATTTGTTTATGTTCCTATAGTTAAAGCTTTGCTCCACTGTTGTGTGACTTACTATAATGTAGACACAGAATATAGAAAGCAACCAATTATAAATATTCTACTTAACGTAATTTAAAATAGCTTTTTGTCTACTTTTATTTTAGCAGATTTAGATTTAATTAATACAATAACTGAAATATTATCCACATTGACTCATGTAACACTGAAATATTACTTCTAATGGAATTGTACATTTTATTATAATCAATGCTGGACAGTAAATGTAAACTTTTTTTAATATAACTAGTTGTGTAAGGGATTACAATTTGACTTTCAGTCATTACAAAACAGTTACTCATCGCAGTAACGCTCCATTACTTCAGTTTGTGGGTTCGGCTTGTTCACTGTTTTACCGGGAGCTTTATGGTTGGTTGATATCATTTTTTTAAACTTTTATATCAGGTTAGGTAATAATGAGTGGGACAACATTATAAACGTAAAAGTAAGTGCTGAAATCAAGTACAATATTATAAATATTATTTTAATTCCTGTTAAATCCGGGACAATTTGGTAGTTGGGACATTTAGTGTTTTACAGATATTTGTCGGGACTCGAGACACCAAGCTTGAGACTGTGACAATCCAAGACAAACTGGGACTACTGGTCACCAAAGGGTTAGTCACCATAGGTAATGTTAACTTAGCTGTAGATGTCATTAAATATCTACAAAACAAAGGCTGTTAAACCACAATGTCTGCTTTTCTATCTCTGTGATGTGTGAAATAGGTGGAGTTCCCTTTTAATGGTACTGTAATGTAACTAATTACTTGATTGTTAAACATACGTTTGTATATATAACACCTAATGTGAAATTGATTACACTTCTCAAGTAACGTTCCCAACGCTGATTACAAACTCTTGTGGTATATTTGACAATATGTCGCATTAGCTTAAAACTTTAGGACTAAAACTGTCATGCCACATAAACACACGTCTTGAGTCCCTGTTGACTCTTGATGCAGTGCAACCCCCTTCGCCCTGCTGCAGGCTCCAGTCCTTTGAAACTGGAAATAAAGCGCCCGTCTCCTCGTCTCCATCAGCAGGGACAGTAATTGAGGCCTCTCGGAGAGCTGAGCGGTGTGTGCCAGTGCTGGAGATTAAGCCTAGCCAATTAGGCTGTGTTTGACTTAGCGCTCTGAGCGGTTGTTCCCGTCCATATGTGCCAGAGAGAACAGTTATGATAACATCTCTGGTAATGATTCTAACAATGCCGGAGCCTTGGCGAAGGCAGATCAGTCTTATAAAGAGGCGTCTCTCAGGCTGGCGATGACAGGGTCGCACGGTACAGGCCTCGCTCTGGTCCTCGGACCACCGACGATCGTCTGCGTGAGTTTGTGTGAGTGTGTGTTAACCTCTTCCCAGGCTTTGATTGGAGGAGAAGGCCGCAGTGCTCCCAGTGGCTTGCCAATTAGGACACTAACATCCATAAATATTTCAGCCTCCTTCTTATATAGGTCAGGCCTCTCTCGATCGCTGTCTCTCACACTCTGCCTCTCTTCACCCTCACACTCGTAATATTTTGTGTCAGGAGTTGTACATTACCTATTGTCACACCTCTGGCTTGAAAGAGATTCAGCACATTTAGCTGTTTCACGGGTGCATGAAGAGGTCACAGAGGATCACACGGCATCGTGGTGGGTCTCTCCGTGTTAAACCCCAGGTATTTTTATATCTGCCCATTTTCTTTCATGGACTCACACCTGGTATTTCCATAATAAAGAGTTTCACGGCGCCTCTGGGTGGCCAAAGACAGAGAAAAGACTGCCTCTGCTCTCACATGCAGGAAAGAGAGAGGGGGGATAGTTATGCAACAGAAATGATGTCACTTCAGGTGAAGGCCCGGCGGAAGTGACATCACCGGGGAGCTCACCGGTACAAAATCACATGCCAATGATGTCATCAAACGGCGTAGCAAGCAGGTGGGAGATATTTGGTGCTGTGGTTGCTGAGCAGAAAACAGACAAAACTGACTGAAATTCTGTTAAACATGCACCCCCGCTTCACCACCCAAACACACGCTCTGATCCGCTGTCCTTATGCTGACATCCACACACACCACATATCAGTAGCATGTGTGTGTGTGTGTGTGTGTGTATGTGTGTGTGTGTGTCTGTCTGTTCCGTGAGTCCTCAGCTCTCCCAATAGCAAGGCAGTTTGCACATCCACACGGGGTTATATAAGCCAGCTGAGGCACACTGAAGCGCCAGTGGGTTTTTAGATCATGCCGTGTCGGAGCTCCCATCATCCACTGCTCTACTGGGCGCTAAGCAGCGGAGAGAGAAGAAAGAGGGGAAGAAAACGCCCAGTTATGCAAGCTACTAATACTAAACTGAAAGACATAATTCAATGTAAAACAGAGAGGACGATGATGTCTGACTGGTGTAGAAGGAGCCTTTTTTTCCTCCTGAAATTAGGAATATGTTGCTTCTTTTAGGATACCTATGTTTTGAACTATAGACTAATACATTATCATCGTCAATAATCAGAATTTATTTTCATAATTTATTAATCATTCAAATCATTTTTCAAGTAAAAATTTCAAGTACAAAAATCAAACAACATTTGATAAACTCACCTTGTGGTTTTATAGACCAAACAGTTAATGGAGAAAATGATCCATAATCCAAAGAAGATTCATTGATTGAAAAATGTACATTACATGCTGTGAAAATAAACCAGGTCTGCAACTAATGATTATTTTCATTATTGATTAATCTGTCAGCTATTTTTTCACTTAGTGGATTCATTTAGTCTATGACATGGTGAACAGCAGTGAACAACTTCTCAGAGACCAAGGTGTCGTCTTCAGATTTCTTGTTTTGTTTAAATAATAATCCAAATCCCAAACAGTAAAGCTGAAAATCCTCACATTGAAGAGCTTGAAAAATGACTGAGATGATTCATTAATTATCAAAGTAGTTGCCGATTATGTTACTGTCGATCGATCTAAAATAAAAACTGTGTGCAGAACCTCTGCCAGAATACGATGGTCCCATTTTCTGCTCTCTAACCTCCACCACTCCAGCTTCCATCATTTCACTGCTGATTCATTTAATGCTACTTGTTGTTCTGTGTTTTTTTATTCAAACTTGTGTGGGTTTTTTATTTTCTTTTATTCCTGGCCACAACATTTAACTGCTTCAGGCTCAGTATTTATTTTCAGATGGTAGCATGCCACTATTAATTTATAACAGCTATATATCAATATTTTTATATTAACAATGTATCACATGTCCATCGCAGGGCCACACATAGACAAACAAGCAGGCACACCAAGGACAATTTAGAGACACCAATTAACCTAGCCTTTAGATGGTGGGAGGAAGCCGGAGTACCCGGAGAGAACCCACGCGGACATGGGGAGAACATGCAAACTCCAAAGGCTGGGGAAACGGGGGTTTGAACCCACAACCTTCTTGCTGTGAGGCGACAGTGTGAACTACTGCATCACCGCGCCACCCCTCACATAACATATCTCACCTCACATACAAACATAAGAAGTAGTGAGTAATATATGTATTTTTTAATTACTTTTTATTATGCTCCACTATGCTATTATTTATTACGTTTTTTTTATTTTATGAGCTGTTGCCACTGTCCAACATGTTTTCACTTCCTGAGTTGCTTTCCCATTTCCATCACCCATTGCCTTATTGAAAGATAAACCCCACATTCAAGTATATTGAATTATTAATTTTCCTGTATGACTGTACTGCAGACAAAACAGTCTGAGTATAGTATGGAATTAGGGCATTGGCCTCCCATGACTCATGTACAGTGGCCCACAGGCAAGTAGTTTCAGCATGTCAAAAGTCAATTAAAAAAATATAGAAAAAAGTATCGGGGCCATTTTAACCCCCCAATTAACTTTCTTGTGAACTTTCCTGGGTATTTTTGCCCCGAGCCAGCGTTAATCTCTGCCTCTGGTTTTTTTGCATGCATTCATCTGAGAGTATTCGCTGACTATGATGACAGAAGGACAGGCCTGTCACAGCCTGTGTCACCCTGGGGCCTCGCAGCAGACTGGACGCTGGCCTGAACAGGCTTTGGCACCACCCAATAAAATCAATAGGTCTGGGGCAGGACACGCAGGGGCTTGTAGGGCAGAGCAGGGGGTGGCAACCACACAGGCTTTGTCAACCAGTGCAGAGTCTCTACTACCAGTTTGTATATAAAAGTGTGTGTGTGTGTGTGTGTGTGTGGAGAGAGAAGGGCCTCACCAGACGGCTTTAATATGATCACCT